AGCAGGCGTTTGAGGCAGCGTTAGTGACAGCTCGTGGGGATGTGGAGGTTGGTATTCGGAGTACGAGGGAGATGAATGATTTCCAGGATGTGCTCTGCTCCTAACTGAGTGTTACTCAAGGCTTCGTAGCTGGGAAGAGCTTTGCAAATTGAGTCCTGCTCCAACAAGTTCTGGAGTAAACAGACTGCCTTTCCTGCCTCGTGCTTGGAGCCTTGGGCCACAGCATCTCCCTGAGCAGAACCAGAGGTGCCTTTCCTGCAGAAATTTCTCTTCTGGGAGCCAAAATAAGGTCAGACCCATTTTGGAGCTGAGCCCCTTCCCCTGTACCCAGGAGTCCTCGTGGGCAGTGGCAGTCCTGGCATAGAGGCAAGTTCTCTCTGTTTTCTTACAAACTGCCTATTGAGTTTTGGTTGAAACAGCTTAATTTGGGAAGTTCTGCTTTTTCCCCACATCTCCGTGGCAGGGCTGGAGGCTGTTTCAGTTTGGTGCAGGAGCTTTGAGTCCGGAAGAGGTTTCTGAAGTTAATTTTTCACTGGCAGCTCAAGCATTTCGCAGCATTCTAGGAGGGTTTAGCAGCCCAAACGAGGGTCAGGATTGCCCTCTGCGAGGTGCTGCCCCAGCCAGGTCAGTTTTTTGGGATGTGAGACCTCTTTAACCAGGCAAGGTGGGAGAAGGGCACTCGGGAGGGAAGCTGAGCAGCAAACAGCCTGGTTTTATCTGCAGCTGAGCCCCTGGGATACAGGCAGGCATGAGTTACAGGCTGATTTTGATGAGGAAATGATGGAAATTTTTAAAACAAACAGGCCCATCTCCTCCTGTTCCTAAACTTTGAAGATTTTTTCCTGTCTGTGAAATGGCAGCATGTAAATCAGCATGGGAGCTGGATGGGAGTCAGGCTGTTTTCTTCAGGACTTGTCTAAGCAGGTAAAGCAGGGGGAGAATCTCATTTAGGGCATGTTCTGCTCAGTAAGCTTTTATGAGAAGGCAGAGTGAACTGGCAAGGCTGCTTTTTTTTTCTTTTTTTCTGAGTAAGGGTAAGGACAGCAGCTTCCCAAATGTAAATATGGAAACGCTTACTCGCAAAGCTTACACTGCTGGAGCTCAGTGATGCAACAGGATAAACTCACTTGAGCCACATTTTTTTTTTTTTGTGGAAAGCTGAAAAAAAGGAGGTAAAACTCCAAATGTAGGAGTTCCATCCTCTGTTAGTGGTGTTGGTTAGTTCTGCTCTTCGGTGTAGGTGAGGCACAGCAGGTCACCTTGTGCTAATGTGGTTCGTTGCTGTTTGCAAGGACACAGACTACAAGCAGTTTACAGGAGGGAAAATCTGGGCTGTTCCTGGAGTGGGAGGTTTGTTTAGGATGCTTGGTTTGTTTAGCAGTTCCCAAACTTCTGGGAAAGGGTGAGCTAGGAACTGATGCATCCTGGTGTGTTAATTATTGCGTCAATTAACCCCATACTCGTGTCCTCCCCCAGACAGTCTGTTGCCTGTGCAGCAGAGGCACATCAGAAGTTCTTAAATCTCCCTTCAGCCTCTTCCTTAGCACTGTTGGTGATTTTTATTTCAGGCCATTCTCTGGTCACACATATCTGGCCAAAAAAAACCAACCAGGCAAAGCACTCAAATGGCCCTTATTGATTTTATTTTTGTGTGTTAAAGTCACTATTAAACCCCACAGCAAAACTTTCTTTCCATCTCAAAGGTCATTTTGCACAGTGAGGACCTGGAGTTTGACCACATCATGGCCACAGTCATCACGGAGAAGTTGAGCCGACTCTTCATTAACGTCAGGCAGATCCCTCAGCTGCTGGGGCCTCTGTCCCCCTCCACCGTCAGCAGCTCCGAGGTGCCAAGAGTCTTCTGGAAGCCTTACATCCATGCTGGGTACCGCCCCGTCCAGCAGACCTGGTGTTACTACTTCTCAACCCTCTTCCAGCAGCACAACGAGGCCATCAACGTCTGGACCCACCTGGTGGCCGCGCTGATCCTGCTGCTTCGCTTCCAGCAGCTCTCCTGGCGCGTGGATTTCGGGCAGGACCTGCACGCGCAGCCCCTCCTCATCATCCTCGTGGCCTCCATCACCTACCTGACCTTCAGCAGCCTTGCTCACCTCCTGCAGGCCAAATCTGAGTTCTGGCATTACAGCTTCTTCTTCATGGACTACGTGGGGGTTGCCGTGTACCAGTACGGCAGCGCTTTGGGGCACTACTACTACGCCATCGAGCCGAGCTGGCACGAGCGCATCCGAGGGTTTTACATGCCCATGGCTGTGCTGCTGGCCTGGCTGTCCTGTGCTGGCTCCTGCTATGCCAAGTACAGGTCCCACCAGTCCGCTCGGCTCCGCAGCCTCCTGTGCCAGGAGCTGCCCTCGGGCCTGGCTTACCTGCTGGACATCAGCCCCGTGGTCCATCGCATCTTCACGGCGCCGCCCGCGGAGCGCGCGGACCCAGCTCTGCTCTACCACAAATGCCAAGTGCTGTTTTTCCTCATTGGTGCCTTCTTCTTCTCTCATCCTTACCCCGAGAAGTGGTTCCCTGGGAAATGCCACTTCTTCGGGCAGAGCCATCAGATTTTCCACGTGTGCCTGGTGCTGTGCACGCTGGCACAGATCGAGGCTGTGGTGTTGGACTATGAGTCCAGGAGGCAGATTTACTCCTCTCTCCAGGGTGATCTGGCTCACAACTTCTCTGCCTTGTGCCTCTTCACTGTGACCTGCTCCATCCTCACTGCTGCTTACATGGCTCGGAAGGTGAAGAACAAACTGGGCTACAAGGAGGAATAATATCCCTGAAGGAGAAGCAGGAGAACACATCCCCACAGCTGATCTGTCTCTGGCTGTGGCTGTGCTGGCCTGAATCCAGCCCCAAACCCCTAGGAGAAGAGGAATGAGCTGCTTCATGAACTGTTACTCAGCAAGTGCTTTCCATAGGGAGGGGAAATAAGAGCTGCTTTTTATGCTGTTTAAATTCAGAATTAGTTCCAGCTTGCTCTTAAAATGGTACACAGGCTTAATTCATGTCTGAATAAACAGTTGGAACCCGATGGTGTCAGTGCTGCAGCCCTGGGCCCTGACAGGGGTGGGTTGGGGGAGGCTCGTGGAAGCTGTCAGGTCTCCCAGCACGAGCTGAGGAGCTGCCATCTGGTCCCTGTGAGAACCTGACCCGTGGAAACAGAGGGTAGCTCATATAAACCACAAAACAAGGGTGGCAAATTAATTTGGTATCATTTCAGCTGCCTCTTACATGGCTTAGAGAGTTGTTCATAGTTGTATAGTATCATAGAATCAACCAGGTTGGAAGAGACCTCCAAGATCATCAAGTCCATCCCTCCTGTGGTTACCAGACCATGGCACTAAGTGCCACATCCAGTCTCAGCTTCAAAACCTCCAGGGATGGTGAATCCACCACCTCCCTGGGCAGCACATTCCAATGCCTGGTCACTCTCTCTGTAAAAAATCTCTTAATATCCAACCTATATTATATATATATATCTATGTTAAGGGGTTAAAATGAAGCTTAGAGGTCACCCAGCACTACCAGGACCCTGTTGGGAGCAGGATAGGCACAGCCTCTGTGCATCTGATAATGCTGTGAGGAGAGAGGGTGAGTTTGAGTCCTTGGATCAGGATAGGAACCTCCACACCCTCCGTGTTGGATCAGACCCTGGGAAGAGATGCTGGTTTGTACACAGAGCAGGACAAGGCAGACACAGGCAGAGAAGGGCTGGGATTCAGATGGAGTATCCGGTGCTCCTCGGATACAGGTGAGTAGAGCAGGGTGAGCCTTGGGGGAGCAGCTCCAGGTGTTCCAGCACACCCACCTGGCTGTGTCTCTTCATTGTGCTAAACCACAGCAGCTCCAGATTGTCTATGTCCTTGGAAGAACTTTGTAGCTGGAAGTGGAAATTAATATTCCTGAGTCGAGTCCAAACCCCTGCAGGGAGCTCAGTGGGAGGGGAGTGAGGAAAGCTGTTAATGAAGGGCTGGAAAAAGCCTTTTCC